CCTCCCTCCTCTTTCCTCCCTCCTCCTTCCTCCTTCCTCCTTTCTCCTTTCTCCTTCCTCTTCCTCTTCCTCTTCTTCTTTTCCAAGACAGGGTTACTCTGTGTAACAGCCCTAGCTGTCTTGGAACTCACTTTGTAAACCATACTGGACTTGAACTCATAGAGATCCATTTGCTTCTGCCTCCAGAGTGCTGGGATTAAAGGCGTGCACCACCAGGCCCAGCCGCTCTGCCTGCTTTCTTACACCACCCAGAACTACCTGCCCAGGGATGATATAATCCTTAGTGGGCTGGGCCTTTCCACATCAATCACTAATCAAGAAAATGCCCTGTACACTTGCCTACAGGCCATCTGATGGAAACATTTTCTCAGTTGTCTGAGAAAAAAGATAGGTTCTTTTTCTCAGATAACCCTGGCCTGGATGAAATTGATAAAGCACTAACTAGTACCCTAGTTGATAAACATAACAGACTATATTACTGGTTTATGTATTGGCCATTCTATAATATTCACTGTTATTTTAGACTTAGAAAAGTAAAGGTAACTCTAAAGATCCTTCAAGAACTATACCAAATATCCATGTTATCCCAGAAGACAGCCCACCACCCCCTGGTTACTACCACTTTACACTTACAGAAAGAAAAGAGACTGAGTTAGAAGGCAGTGATGTTGACAGTTGTTTGACCTGGGCTATGCTGAGATGCTTGCATATTAGTTCTTAACCAAAAGGTTTTGAAAATAAAATAACAGAAAGTTAAAAATTCCAAGTAGAAAGCCTGGCATGTTGCTACATGCCTACAACCCCAACGTTTGAGTGCCTGAGCCAGGAAAATGCTGCAAAGTGCATGCCAGGCTACCCAGGACTACAGAGTGAGACTCTGTCTCTTAACAATTACAAGCAGTAAAATTTTACAAAATAAAGAAAAAAATGCATTGTATACTTGTACACTCTGGTTGTATTTTAAGCGGATATTAAGAGACAAAAAATAGTTTGTAAGAATACTACAGCTATTTTTTAATAATAATAATAATAATAATAATAATAATAATAATAATATTTCAATAAATTCACTCTAGCCTGAGTGGAGAGTATTTTAAAGTGTACAGCCAGGAACAGTTACATCCTGCCTTCTCAGTCCCTCACCACCAACTCAGTGAGTCACCTAGAACAACTCCTCACTAAATAAGCTCCATTCCCAGCAGGCACCCTAGGCAGATGTGTGAGTGTGTCTTACCTTTTATCCTGCACCTATGTCCTTCCTTTCCTATGCTTAGGCATCTACTGTTTACTATATGATATCATTTCCTTCAGCTTCACTTGTAGAGCAGACTTATGAGTCTTTAGCCTAGGAGTGATCTAGGTATAAAGTAGGCTATCCCATCTAAGTGTAACCACACAGTGATTAAATTGCCTCAGAATGTATCCCTGATATGAAGTAATTCATGGCTGGTCTAGAGTCAGAAGAAAATTGTGTACTCATAAATAAATACCATAAGAGAAATAGTCATTGGAGATTAGAAAGGATAAAATAAAGGCAGGATTGATGATGCATACTGGTATAGCTGGGAAACATGGAATTTGGTGTCCAAATCACTGAGTTAGTCGTCTGGGTACATCGCTTCTACAGGTCCAAGATTGGATAATTTCCCACATTCCAAGTTACTTTTTTCTGATAGAAAATGTAGATAGCCCTCATTTAACAGGTTTCATTTAAGGATTAAATTTGATAAACTCCCTCATTGTTACTTAGTATATGACACATCCTCATCCTCTCATACAAGCATCCAGGGCACAGTCATTAGCCAATAGCCATCATCAAATAGAAACAAGTGTAAGAAATAAAGGATGACCAAGGTTTAAAATATAAACAATCATAGGCCAAGATGGAAGAAAACACTAGAGGGGGAAAGGGTCTGGTAGAGAAATTGAAGATCTGAAAAACACTGATGTCTAGAAATGGAAATGGAGGGAAGAGCAGGGTGAGACAGGCAAAGCTCCAGGGTAAGTTAGACACCCATCCACAGAGAGTGTTAGATATTTTCTTCAAGCTATTGCAATACAGCCTAGGGCAATCTTGAAGAGAAAGCAAGCACCTCCTAGCATTCTCAACATGACAAGCTCCAAGCCCCACAGAAGCCATATTCATCAGCATCTCAAGAATGGAACAGGTACACTTAAAACATTAAAAACATGATTTCATTCAACCCCAAGTCCAGAGAGGCTGGCAAAGTGGCTCAGCAGGTAAAAGCTTGCTATGCAGGCCTGATGTCCTCAGCTCCATTCCAGAACCCAGGATGGAAGGAGAGAACTCACTGTTGGGGGGGGCTTGGGGGTGGTTGTCTTCTCACCTACACACACACACACACACACACACACACACACACACACACACACACTAATAATAATTATAATAATAATAATAATTTTTAAACATTTTAAAAGAAGTTCATAAGTAGATATGATTGGTTTGTAGCTCTTTGGTGTTGCTGCTTTTCAACCTTTCAGAAAGCCATCTTCTTTATGCCAGAATATTTTCCACCCACCTAGTCACAAAATGCCTATAGACACAGCTCCAAATGGTTTTCATATTCCTCTCCCTTACTCTACCTTCTCAGAGTGCCCCCCCTGAATCCTACTTACCAATGGCTTCACCAGTAGTCTCACATCCACTATGAGAGTGATCACCAGTCCATAGTGTTGTCCCATGCTTACTTGTGTTTATGTGTTTATGTTCAGTTGTCACCTCTCCCATGGAGCCAAGTACATAGAAAGAGGGACAAAACCTGAGTTCTCTTGACATCTAAGAGTTTGACTCTGGGTGTTGGAGACCCCACTGGAAACATGGCACAGGTTTCAAGGGGGTGTGAAGGCACCTGAACATTGATCCCATCCCTTTCTCAAGGTAATGGTTGCTCATGTTGCTCATCTTTAGGACAAGACTCATTATAACACTGGAGATAAAGCCACATCCAAGCTCTAGTGTTAATATGGTGATTTCCCTCAGAACATGATGGTAGAATTTAATCCCCACTAAAAGGTATTAAGAGGGTAGAAATTTTAACTTGACTGTAGTGTTTAGAAATGAGGCCATAGGATGGAGATTAGGCATCAATGTATTATAGAAGTTTCCACAACTGAATATGAGAATACATAAAAAGGAGAGGGACCAGAACCAATGCACACCTAGATACAAATGCACACCTATACACATTCCCCGCTTCTGCTCAGGGACTCAGGCAACAAGACCAGTCACCTGATACAACTTGACGTTGTGTCAGAACCATGAATCAAAAGAAACTTCTAGAAAATAGGCAGCCTACAGGGTTGTATCATTAGCCAAAGAAAATGAACTAAAGTAACCCCCAAGTGTGTGTGCTGTTACAATCGGTAAAGATAAGGTCTGCACAAATGCTTTGTAAACTGCTACGTGAGAGGTGCAGGTGCGACTTCTGTTGAGTGACAACAGGACATCTGCTTTTCAGCTTCTGCCATCTGCAGACTCGGGAATATTCACAAGCCAGGAAAAGTGCTACATGACACTGTCATGATGACTACAACTCTCTGGAAAGTTGGCAGATAAAGCACCATTATTGATCACATACACTAAACAGTAAATTGGGTGGCCTGGAGCTCTCAAAAGCATACTGTACTACCTTGAAGCTTGACAATGAAGATTGCTTACAGCCTATCTGACAGTAGAAGCTACTTTAAATATTCTGCCAAAGACAGAAAAGTCACGACTGAATGCCAGCAGGAAAATAATTTGTCAAAATCTCAACAGGAACAATTTTCAGTGTATTAAAACTCTGAGTATTATATGCTTGAGTTACCCTCAGAACAAAACTCTACACATGAATAAACAGATAAACGCAAGGGAGACAGGCCAGAGGGTTGTACAGCCCATTCTCTCCTGGAACTCTGCTAAGACTGGCAAGAAGGTGACCATTACCTCTGTTTCCTGATGAATCAATCCAGCAACTTGGCAGTGACATCAGAGAAAACAATCAACAGCCGGAAGAATGATGTAACCATCCGACGGGTCTGTGAGTTGTAAAACCATCTGTCCTTCTGCCCGGGCATCATTGATTTCTATGTGACACTGCCATAGCCTTGGGGAAATTGCTTTGTGAATTATTAATATGCTGGATGAGGCATGAGAAACTTTGAGGTCAGAATGGGTGTGTAATGACTGAGGGTCAGACTGCCAGTGTGTAGGGATGAACATAAATTGGGTGTCATCGTGATCCTAGGACCTTTGTCCCATCCTAAGGATAATGAGAAGATGTGGAAAAGGAGGACTATACCAAACTGGCCATTCTGCTGGTCATCTGTATGCTCCAAACTCCCCCCTGACTCTTCTCCCTCTAAATAGCCATGTATAGTTTCCCATTTAAATATCAGAACATGTGAGTGACTTACCTTATCACCGTTCTCACCCAGTCATTATGTCTCTTCTACAATGGCTCTCCTCTCCTGAATCCACTTTGATGATGCTAGTACTCTGGAGATGCTGCAATAAAGAAGATAATTGTCACTGCTTAGCTAAATATTATTGGTGTCGTGTATATGGTAGAAAGAGAATAAGAGGCAAAATGAAAGGAGTGAATATGTTGAAAATGAGTGCACGATACAATATAAATCCATCAATAAATGAATAAATAAATGAAACTAGTAATGTCCATTGGCTGAACAATACTCTAGGGTTCCTGAGAAGTTTGAAGCTTAAACTGTGAAGAGGACCCAGAGAGGTGTGATGGCTAGGGGTGCTTATTGAGACACATTAATAGATTTGTATTTTAAAGTGTGGTGGGTGGTGAGATATAAGTATGTTTAAATGTTTAGCTGAAATGATGTGGGAGAAATAATACCCAAGGTTCAAAGGATCATTGGTAAGAAGTGCTCCCATCCGAAGGATGGATGGAAAAGGGGAACCAGAGCAAAGAAAACAAAGGGCTAGACAGGAACAAGACTCATACAGCAAAAGAGTTCATGCTCCGAACCACATATCAACCAGCATGAAGTCTACATGCTCTAGTAATACAATCCACATCCATTCCTTTTCTGTTCCTTGTGGTGGGTTTGAGAGAGCAGAGGACTGCTACCCATGTTTTAAACTTGAGATAATCAGATCATGTGACAATTATTTTAGCTCAGAAGAACCAGACCCTGTAGTCTCATGGCTTCATTTCTAGGGTCCCATTCTTTCTATAACATCTACTTAACAGAGTATTGACATCTATGCTGCCAAGTAATTCAGTGACTTCCAGATTCTGAGCATGCCCATTAAAACAATTACTTTTTTATTCTAATTCAGAATCCTCTTAATATGTATGTAAACAAAAGCAGTTTGTCTATCTTGGGATTCTCTGATACATTTTGTTCAGTTTTAATTTACTTAAATGGAAATGAGACTAAAGAATTCCCCCTGTGAGATTGTTGGGCCAATGAACTTAGATGATGAAGAAGTGAACAAATGCCTACTCATGCCAAGATGGGGCATTGTAAACAGACCAAAGAAATTGTTCTACTCAACTCTAGTTCTGTGAACCAGTGATCATGGATTACTCAAATCAGCTGCATCACCCAAATGTCCACCTGGTATGTGTGATGACATCCCCTGAGTTCCCTGTACCACTTTTAGACACCTTTTTGGAGACTCTCTCCTCTCTAGTCAGTTTCCGGGGGTTTGGGGTTTTTTGTTTTGTTTTGTTTTTGGTTTGTTGTTTTTGGTTTTTCAAGACAGGGTTTCTCCATGCAGTTTTGGTTCTTATCCTGGATCCCACTCTGTAGACCAGGCTGGCCTTGAACTCACAGAGATCTGCCTGGCTCTGCCTCCCAAGTGCTGGGATTAAAGGCATGCCACCACCGCCTGACTCTCTAGTCAGTTTTCCTACATTTACAATGTAGTAAACATTGATTTTGTTTCACAACCTTGGGAAGGGGGCTTGTTAATCTTCTAAGTTTCAGGAGCTTCCTGGGCCTTGTAAGTTTTGTCTATTTCCTGGGCCTTGTAAGAACCATTCCCCTCTTCTTCCAATCAGAACAAGAAACTACACAAAAGAGTCGATTCCCTTTAGTTTCTGCAGAGCCACAGTAATATCTTAATATGCAGAAAATTTCAAGTACTCTAATAATGGGAAAAACTATTGGATTCTATTAATACAGGAAGCCCAGATAATTTTTATGAAAAGTGAAAAGCTTCCATGTTGACAGATGATAGCCAAGGAATTTTAACATATATCAAAAGGGTACACATTTTCATGATGAAATTCTGCTATTTTGTTATTTCTAATTCTTCTCCTATAGCTTTCCAATAAGTTAGTTGGTATGTTCACATGTTTCATGGGAATAAAAGTTCTTCTTGGGATCTGGACATTGAGAATTAAGCCTATATCTTGAATAATAGTTTCAGAGTTCAAGAGGTATTCAGGAAAGATAACTAAAGTCGACTGGATTTTATAATGGGAAGCCCTTTAAACCAGACCTCAGAGGACTTAAGAGTATAATTCAGCATATTGTTTTCAAGGAGGTCTCCCTGACAGCAGAGCAATCCTTAGGGGAAAAAAGCCTTGGCTTTTCTCCAAAATCAGAAACATATGAGACAAGAAGAGACTCCAGAAAACATGGAGACATGTTGGGAAAGTCTGGCATAAATTAACCACAGCCTTACTTGTTCTTTCAGCTTTACTTTCCTGGGAGTCATAATCAGGCAATGGCTGATTCTCCTATTTGCTGCCACTTTTCGATAATGGTGAAACCCCAGGAAGCCAGGAACCTGAAATTCAATCATTTGACTAACTTCAATAAGTAGTTAGCTCCCCTCCTGACAATCCAAGAAATGAATTCATCAACCTGAAGACAAAGCCAGTGAACCTCTGTTTTGTTTTAGTTTTTTTTTAATTCCCTTTGATCAGAAGTTTCCACCTGTGTTCTCATCCTAGCTCACTAACTAACCTATGACTCCCAGAATGAAATACTTTTTCCTCTTGCTATCTCAAGTTTCCAGTCCGCAAAGTCAGAGGACCAGGCCAGATGGCCAGAGGGTTTTACTCCAGCTAGGACTGTAGAGCCCTACACATTTCTCCTCAAATACTTTTGTCCTCTTCTTTCCAAAACCTTGACTTACTCAGGGTCTGTAGATTTGAAACTGACAGTTCCTGCTAAGTATACGGGATTCTTGTCCATTCCTTAAGGATGGTGTACTCTGTTGATTGCCAGAGGGGATAATGGTTGAGCTTACTTTCTCTGAGAAAGGTTGTTTTTAATAAAAATGTTCTTAATCATGAGCTCATCCAAATGTCAAGTAAACCCAGGGTTTTTAAAAATATCTCTCAAGGCTCTTCAACTCTCCAGCTTCTTCATCAAGTTGAGCCATCTTGACATGCTTTGTCTTTGAAACCCTTTCTAACACCTTTTATGCCCATCTGGATATCAGCTTCTTCCTAACCATGAGTAGGGCTTATTTTCCCATTTGCATTCTTCTCAGGAGTCACTTTATCTAATTCACTTGGCAGACACATCCTCCAAGTCCCAAGTCTCTACCGAGTATAATACAGTGTAGCCCCGTGAGGAAGACACTGAATGCTGTAGCCTGAACATCTGTCAGTGGTAACTTTTATGTGGGCAAGCATCATAAAATAGACAAATATATGCATATGTAATAAAAAGCACCTTTAACAGGTGAAAATTTAAAAGAAAATTAAAGAAAAATTGGAAGATTGGGTAACAGAATGAAAGATGTTCTTGGATTTATTAAGCCTTTGTTTTACAAAGGGTATAACTCAAATGATACTGAAAAAACAATGGTATTTGTGACAACGTGGATGAACTGGAAATGACAGTATATTAAGTGAAATAAGCCAGACATAGAAAGACTAATAGCATGTGATCTCATGTTTATGCAAAAGTAGAGCATATAATGGAGGGCACCAGGCTAGTTGGAGAGGATTGAGGACATGCTATTTAGAGGATCCAAAATTTTAGCTGGACAGGAAAAGTAAGTTCAATTTCTGTTAAAGAATTACTTACTAATAATATACTATGTGCCTGAAATTTTTCAGGAAAGTATATTTCAAATGTTATTACAACAAAAATAATTATGGGAGAAAATACATGCATTAAATAGCCCAAGTTAACTGTCATGTGGTGTAATCATATTTCAATACGTTGTATCTGATAAATGTATACAACTTTTGCAAATCAAAAGTATAAAGATAAATTAAAGGATTAAGAAAAAGAAAGAAATGTAAACAATAAATTCACACAATCTGGTAGAGACTTAGGACTCTACCAAGGACAAATGTGTGTGTATAGCTATATATGTATCTGTATAAGCATATATACATAACAAGTTATATACACTAGTGTATATATCATGCATACACTCTTGTATGTCCACATGTATTTGAGTTTGTCATACCAAGACAGAACAGTTTTGCCCCTGCCTTCCTTGTATGGAATTTTATTAAAACAGGAAGTGTCGCTCCCGGAGACAGGCAGAGAGAGAATGTGTCTTTGAAAAGAAGCAAGACTGGAAGGAGAAGTTCTTTGGGAAAGCGACAACTGAGGGTCCTCTGAGGAGGGAGCGCTTGAGATGCTCTGGAAAACCTGAACACCATAGTTCTGTGGCCCACCAGTAGGTGCTGACTTTGCCACATCCCTGAAGCCTAAGCGTGGTGGAGACAACAATTTCTACAGAGAAAAGCCCCTGTGGTCCAGGGCAGAAAGAATCCAGAGGGGCATGCCAGCACTAAACATCTAAACTGTGGGTATCCCAGTGAGAGAGGAAACTGAGAACTTAAACCTTCCTGCCAGTAGAAGAGCTCGAGAGACTTGGAATAAAGTAAACAACTCCAATGCCTGGATTTAGAGACACTGATGTCTCACCGCTGCTGTGTAATATGTGTGATACTGAAATGTTTATACTGTCCAGGGTGGAGATGCTAAAATTAGTTGTTTCTCAGAGAGAACACGGGGATGCAAGACAGGGATGTATTTTATTGCTCATGTATTAACAGAAGGACTTTTGATCAAACTTGGAGTAAATAGATACTATTATTTATATGGTGCATTGCAATATTATTAAGAAAGCAGCAGCAACAAAGCCAAATGAGAAAGTCTCTGTCACCATGCCTAAGATTTTCCTTTAGTACTAAACATAAACAACTCATAGTAGCACTGTCTTGAGAGAATGTTCACCTTGGACAGCCAGCCAAGGGGGAAAAAAGCATTTGTCAGTGATGTATGGCCAAAGGGCTGCCAGTGTGCCTGTGATTGCCAAGAACATGAGCCTGCTGCCTCCAGCTCCCCCTGGTTCCCCTAGTGCTTTGTATGAGTCACAGTAAAGAGTCACCTGGGGTTAGGGAGGGTTAATTCAGTGTGTTCCTGGGTCATGTAGACATGGCTCATCACTTGGGTTCAGCTTTCTCAGCATTGGATTCTTAGGCTTTTCCAAAGCCATGGGAGAAATCAGACCCAAACTTATCTGGGCTCTTTCTATGCTCCAGAGGTCAAAGAATGGGAGCAAGATGAATTGTGTCTGATAAATAAGAGCTTGTAGCATCCATTTCCAGAAAACAAAGGTCCAATGAAGTGCAGACCACTTTTATCATTCAACAGAAGCAAGTTCCAGACAAGGAGATGGGTGGAGTGAGAACCTTTGTCTAGCCGCCACTCTGCGTGGACCTCCCTGCCATACGAATTGAGAAACTACATGCTTTGAAGCCCTGAACCTCAGCTTCCTCATCTATAAAACAGGATGAATGATCATGATCATCAAGATTACTTCCAGATCAGTCAGCAAAATTTTCAGTTTATATCATTGTATAAATATAGTCACCTTATTCTTTTAAGACTGAAAGTAAAAGAAAAAAAGGAGGTTGAAATTGTCTTACGATAAAATGGATCCATTCATCTCTGAAATGACGTATTCCCCCCCATCTTGTTTTGTAAGATTCCTTCTCATTCCCTTTTATATTTTTCACCTTTCTTCATTCTGACCCCTCTAACACCAAATATACATCAGCCCTGGGGTCATGCAGAACCCCTGTGAAGGAACGCTTAAAATATTTATTTTGGCAGAAAATAATGAAAGTGCTATGCTTTCTCTTTGATAGAATACCTGTATTGCAAGTGATTGATGGTCTCTGTTTTTCTAAATTTTTTTGAAAATATTATAGTACAATCATATCATTTCCTCCTCTATTTCCTCCCTCCAAACCCTTCCATATACCTTCTCCTTGCTCTCTTTCAAATTCATGGCCTCTTTTCTCATCAATTGCTATTACATGAATATATGTATATACATATGTATTTTTAAATACAGCCTGCTCAGTCTGTATAATGTCACTTGTATTATGTTTTCAGGGCTGACCATTGTGTATTGGATAGTTAGTTGATGTGCTCTTTTTGGGTAAAACTATTTCTCCTGTTCTCAGCACTTCTTAGTTGCCTGTAGTTCTTTCTGTAGGGTTGAGGGCTTACAGTCCTTCCCTGGGCCACTTTGGCATATCTGTTGCTGACAAGCTTTAACCATTCTAATTAACTTTTCTCTTTTTATAGTAGAGCAAAAAACCAGAAGTAAAAATTTTAACCTTTAAGAATTCTAAGTAATTCAGAAATCATTTCTAAACAAATAAAAAACCAGCAACCTTGGTAGCAGGTGGGTAATAAATATTTTCAACCTCAGTAGAGATGAAGATGACCAGACATGATTCAAGGTAATGGTGTGAGGAAAATCAATATGGACAAAGGTTGACTCAGGGTGGGAATTGGGAATTTCCTGAAAATTTGTTGCCTTAAAAAATATTTACATTTAATATAAGTCTTATTTTCTCCAGTAAACCTAATAATCTTAAGAAAACATTTTTGTAATTTTTTTAATTACTTAACAAAACTTTTCATCTTTTTGCATAGAACTTTGATCTTAATCTTGAAGGAGCAAAAACATGCAGAATCCTCTTGAGTTTGATAGGAATTTTCATTTCTCTCTGACAGAGCTTCTAACAATGCATGGAGAACATTCTTTCCTTCACTCTCCGTGGTTTCTATTTTCCATGCACCTCTCCTGAGCTGAGCAAGATGTCTATGCAAAACAGAGCTGAACAGACACGGGACAGCCTACCTGAGCAAGACAGAGCACTAGGAAAGGCATCTGTTGTTGGGACAAGATGAAATATCTTAGGAGGCAGTTACATGTAGCTTAGAATCCATCTCCTGCACTGCCTATGTGCACTTAGTGTTATGGTTGTGTATTGAAAGCTTGGCCACTGGATGATGGATCCAATTACTGACTAGATCATGAAGACCCAATAGACCCAATCTTTGATGGCTTCATAAGATGATGGAATTGTTGGGAAGTGGAGACTAACTGGGGAAAATAGGTGATGGGGATGTACCCTATACCCTGCCTCCCCCATATCTACCTGCCTTTCCCCTCTTCATCCTGTCCACCATGAGGAGAACCACTGTCCTCTACCATGTGCTCCCTACTGTGATGTTCCACTTACCCATGCAGGGATCAAAAAGTCACAGATCCAAGTCTCTAAGGACCAAAACTTCCCCAAGAGTGAGCTAAAGCCAGTCTTTCCTCAGCTTACATTGATTTTCCTGGGCATGCTGTCAAAGGGATACAAAAGTTGTGATGAGCAGTAGCAACTCTGAAGCTCAGACAACCATTTCCTTTGATGGACAACACTTCCGTTTTCAAGGTGCTTCAAGGATCATAAATTCTGTGAGCAATGGGTCTGACACAATATATGGAGGCATGAATTGAAGTCATTGTCCCCTGGCTACTCAGTTCTGAGTTCATTTGCTTTCATCACCACCTCCAGCCTCTGACCAAGGCTGGGGCTGCCTTTTGAAGGCATTTTTAGCCTTACTCTATTTACTATTGGGAGAGGCACACATCGGAGCAGCCAGAAAACAATTTTGTAATGTGGGTTCTTACATTTATGTGGCTTCCAAAGTTGAACCTCTGGTTGCCTGGCTTGTAAATCATGTGCCTTTACCCATTGGACCATCTCACGAGGCCCGAAGGGATGCCTTCAGTTGACACACATAGCAAACATATAAAGGACTTTTAGCTATGCATAGTTTAAAGAACAGTTGGATTCTTACCAACCTTCTAACTTGCCTTTGACTGAAGCCCAGATTACTGCACTGAATCACTGCCTCCCTGTCATTTCTGGCCCCTGTCCTTACCCATCCCCCTCTTCCTTGCCACACCACCGCTTCTCCCATGTACAACACTTTCTTAGAAAGATTTCCCTGGACATCCAGCTCGCCATTGCTGGGCCCAAGAGTTACTTCAGTTGTCACTGACCCCTGACAGCCTGGATACCCTTGCCACCACTGTCCCCTAGCCTCCACAGGCTCTGAACTTCTACTTCCTTCTCAGCCTCACACAAATTGTCAATCAACCAAGTACAGTAAAAGGCTCTGGGTTTAGAAAACCCAGACTTGAGTCTCTTCTATCCCCTTTATTGGCTGTGTTTAGGTTAAACCTTTAAATGCTGCCTTTCCATCCATAAAATAACAACAAAGTGATAATACTAATTATCATCTCTCTTGCTCTGCATACCTGTGCTGAGGATCAGATAAATGTACAGGAAGTCTGGAAATCAGTGAAGTATGCTAAGAAGTCTACCCCATCATTATTTGTCCCTATGGAAAGGACCTACTAAAAGAGTTTATAGTGACTGCCTTGTGCTACAAGGTCATTTAGTAGAGAGACATGCACAATACTAAAGAAAGTCTTTCCAGTATTATCAAGATTCTGGACAGGATGCTTTTGGATGGTGTTTCTCTATTCTCCTTGTTCCTTTGTTATCAGCACATATACTGTGGCCACTGTTTCTCTTGCTTCCACAAAAAAAAAATCTAATTTTATGTAGCAGTAATAACTACAGAAAAAGTCCCACCTCCCTGGCTTATATGTAGAATGAACTGGTGCTTGCTTGCTCCTGCGAAGCAAATCATAGAGCTCTGATGCCTGCCAGTTTGAAAACATAAAATAATGAAGTTAGTTTTAACACTCACCCAAGAGGTGGGACCTGAAGCTCTTAAGTTGGTTCCAGCCATCTGTTAAAGTGGGCACAGAAATCCCCAACTGCATCCCACGGGCCAGCAATAACATCAAGGATATTCCTCTTCAGTGCTGGAAATCTGGAAGAGAGCAATTCACAAATCCATAGATGGGGGGGAAAGCAGATGTGCCCTGTCAAGTCAGGCAATGTGTACAGAGAAAGGAGGAGGTTTAGCATATGTGCAGGTAGGAAATGTCCCCAAATGGTTGTATATCCTCCATCCTGCCAAAAGTTCAGGTTCTGTTTCATAGATTTGCCAATGTCTTATCTTTGGCTTGAAGCTTAACATTTTATAACCATCCCTTACCCCCCCCCCCACATACCTGATTTAGGGTAGGTCTTGTGTCTTTATTTTGAAGTTCTCAAGGATAGGTTTTTCTTTTTGCCACCATTTAACTATTCCAGTTTTCAGTGGTCTTTGGCTAGAAAATCAAATATAATTGCCTAAGACACATTGATAATTACCTAAGACACCTACTTTGCAAGTGGAAAGGAGCGGGGCTTGCCAAACATGGTAGTGGCCCTCCTGTGTACCTACTGGATCATGCAGCCATCATGCTGCTCAGATGCTGAGACAAAGGAGGCCTGAGTGACTGACTGACCACCAGAATTAGGGGCTAGGTAGGAACTTGTCACGTAGCCAGAATGTAGGGAGCAAAGAAGACCATGGTGTGGTGTACCCAGAATGGTACTTTGGGGTAAGCTCAACCAAATCTGAATGTCTGTGCCACTAACTCTTGGCTTTCCAAGTGTTTGTTAAAATTAGTAAATACCAATGAGTGACTAAGTTCCTTTATATCCACTATGCTGGATTTTTCATTGAATGCAGTTATCTTTTAAAATAAGTCATTTGTTGATGAGTGATAGGGTTATGTTGTGAGAACTTCATCTCTAGATGGTTTATGTCAATGTGTGAATGTGATAGAGAACATTAGCACAGCCCTAGATACCATGTAGGTCAATTCCCAACATGTCTCCTGATGTGATCAAGAGAAGCACTAAATATGTACTATGTGGATCCTCCACTGCTGTGACACAGCATGGTGCTTTATAGCAAGCAGTTTGCTATCAGGGGCACACTCTAAAGTAACCATAAAAAACATAACATAGTAAATAAACCAGAAGCACAGACATCCGGGACCACTGCCAAATATTGTGCTTTATGCATAGTTATATTGCTGCAGTATTCTACAACTGATAACACAGATTTGCTTACAGCAGCAGCCCCATAAACACATGGATAATGCTTTGTACTACAAAGTACGAGAGACTCCTAAGTCACTGGGCAATAGGAATTTTTCCATTTTTATTTTAGTCTTAGGGGAATCCCTCTGATACATGCTGAGCACTCTCACTAAAACACCATCAGACTGTGTTGGTTGTGTGGGCATGGCTAACCAGAATATGCTGATCTCAAACAGTACAAACTCAATGTTAGCCAAGCAGCTACTACTTAGCTATATTAAACAGTCAACAGAAAGCATCAAGAAGAGTCAGGACTCTCAGAGTGGTCATATGAAGTCTAGGGGCCTTAACCCAGCATCTACAACAACCACTGTCAGCATCTCCCTCCTCTGGACCATCCTTTCCCACTTCTCTTGAGCTTAAATCTCTCCTACTAGCTTTTCAATTGGGTCTCTCAGTAATTTCTCCTCCTTTTCACATGACTCCTTCTTTTATGTAATATTGTATGTGTATTTTGAGGCAAGGTGATAAGCAGAGAACTCGATGATTGAGGCTAAGTTCAGCCTGAGAAGCCTTGGGAAATGTTCAACTCATCTGTCTCCTCAGAACTCGGTTGGAAGAATCCTGGCATTAAGATGAATTCCTTGACTGCCTTTAGAGAGGTTGCAGGATTCAAAACTGTCTGCCTACACATATACTTTGAGCTATATTTCCACAAATGAAGGCTATTAGAAAGGGGTAGGAAGAAATATCTGAACATAGCTTAACCTGGCAAAGCAGAACAAATTCCAAGTGCTGGAGAAAGGATTGCAGAAAGGTAATGCAGGCAATGGAGCTGACAGCTAGGTGAGGCTCTGGGAAGCAGCCTGCAGGTGGGGCTTCACCGCTGCCCAGGAGCAAAGCCTCTGTCTTCCTCAGAGACCTGGGGTGATGAGAGTGCAAGGAATCCCTAGCCTTGACTTCAGGCATAGTAAGTCTGCCCTCATATACTTTGTATATGGGGCTCAAAGGAAAATATAGTTCACTGTTGACACTCACTTGGACATAAAGGATTAAGACCTTTCACTCCCATCTTGTTGTTCCAAACACAAACTAGAGAAGTGCCTTCAGAAGACAGTAGTCATTTTATCTGAAGTAAGCATCAAAATTTGTCTCTACCATGTGATGTTAATTCAGACAAGACTTTCTGAAATTTTAGGCATCTCATCTATTCCATTTTAAGTTAAATTCTATTAGAAATTCCCCACCACATGAAGACAGTCATTGGGAGAGGTTGCATATGTGGCATCATCTTCAAGCCAAAGACCAAGTTGATAAAAATCGGCTGAAGAGAGTTTCTACGTGAAAAATATGAATCATATATTTCAAGAATCTTACAGGATGTCTTTGACACCTTCAGGAAGCTTGGTATCACAACTTACAGGCATGATATGAGAATAATTTAATTTTTAGTATATACTTGATCACATATTCTTCATTTAGTGGTAGTGTCTGGAACATAGCTGAAGCTATGTATACCTTCTTAGTATGTAATTGTCATGGTCTATGAATTGAAGATGTGCTGTCTTCAGTAGGACTCATGAACCTTGGAACAATAGCTCATTTTGTGTAAAAAGCTAGTTTAAATTTACAGTCTGCCTGAAGGTTAGAGTAAGTACTTTTTTAAATTTTTACAGTTTTAAACCTTTATTGATACAATATTACTACAAATCTCATTTGGGCACCAGTGAGCTGGCTCTGTGAAGAAAATATGTGAGGTGTGCTGTTGCTGGAGAGCTTCTCTCCAGGTTCCCCAAGCCCCGCAGTCCCACAATCCACGTATAAAATAATCACTCAGACGCTTATATCACTTATAAACTGTATGGCCATGGCAGGCTTCTTGCTAACTGTTTTTATATCTTAAATTAACCCATTTTTATAAATCTATACCTTGCCACGTGGCT